CACAAGTATTTGAACATCAATAAAACATTGCTTATGGTAATGATACACAATGCTAATTGTGCAGTCTATAAAAGTGACTTGCTTCCACAAAGCGAATTATTCCTCTTCCAAAGCTTATTGAAAAAAAGAACCTCCAGTATTTACAGTAGTAAGTAGTATGTAGTAATGAAGAAAGTGCCTTTAACTGAAACTTGAACTCTACAGTGTTAAAGTATTTTTAGATAAGCATGCTAATTGCAAGGAAACAGAGGCACAAACAGCAAACAACTTGTCCAAAGTCACTAAGAAAACAAATGACAGGAAGCAAAAGATACGAGCCTCATACTTTCTAATCCACTAACCATACCTATTTGTCAAGGATTTCTTCAAGTATAGGCTAATATTCAACTTAAGGTTTTCAAACACAGAATAATAATGCAGCACAACAGTTGCAGTGGTGAAGGGCAATATTATGCCCAAAAGAAAATGACCACACAACAAACATGGAAAGTATTTTCTTTCCAGACTTTATGACACATACTCTATTTTGTATGGAATCAGTGTGGTAAGTGTAAGTAAAAATATACATGTTTATTCTAACATCAGTTGAGGCCACATTAATTCTGAGAAAAGCATTCACAGAAAAGCATTCACATGGTTCATACACAGTATGACCGAGTCTGCAAATGAAAGAACGATTCTTTTAGAGCTCAGAAAAACTTGCCAGTCAGACACTTCTGTCCCCTTTCCTCAGTTATCCACACCCAGAAATGGCCTCAGAGTAAAATAAATAAATAAATAAATAAATCTTCTGAATAAAGATGTATTTATGGCACTAAGTACACCTGACAGAAAAAGAAAAATGTATTCTTCAGAAGAATAAAAAAATAACTTCATGACACCCACATCAACATTTACACCTTTTTGTTGTACATTATTTTAACACACTCCCACAGACATTTGTCCCTTGAGTCCATTGACAAGGTTTCATGCTATTCACAGGCATTAAATCAGCCCATTCATTCTTTGCAAATAAGAAGAGATAAGTTCCTCAGAAACATAGAGAGCAAAGGCTTTCAGTGATTCACTCAGTCAAATTTGAACTACAGGAACAATTGACTGTGCAGGCAGCTAGACTGGAGACACAGCACTGACATCAAAACCCACGAGGCATTCATCTGAGGAATTCTTAAGTCAATTATTCCTGCATATTCTGTGCCTGTGTGCTTTTTATTGTGCTAATAGTGAATCCTGTGACTTACCAGTAGGATTTTTTGTCTCATCTGTTTATAGGAGCAGTTGCAATCTAACAATGCCACCCATGGGAAGAACTCAAAGCTGTATAGTTTTGGTACTGCATGAGAGGAGAGTGCCTTATCAGTTTGGATCACATGATGGTAGATGACTAATTTTAAGGCATAACATATGAAAACAGCATTACATAGTGGTACAACTCCTGGCCAGTCCTCCTTGGACATCACGTATATTGATTTAGTTGTGTATCAAGATACTTCCATTACAGCAATTGCATGGAATATTTCAATACTATCACAGAGTTAATCTAGTTTTACATATTTATCATATCTAGGAAATCTAGCAGCAGGGAAAAAGGTCAATCCTGTAGTTTGCCTCCAGGATTCAGATGCCTGGAGTGCTACTTCCATTTCCAACGCATCTTACATACTATAATAAAGAAGTTGTTCGGTTTCCCAGGGCTTTTTCCTACTCTGCTTATACAGAAGCCTGTTCGTAGCACTCTAATTTCCAACTTTCAAACTGCATACTACTTTTTTTCTTTTTTTTTTTTTTTGTTATGTTTTAAACAAACTAAAACAGCACATTTAGAAACATCCAATTTTCTTGCTTTCCAAGTACAAAAAATTTACTCCTGAAAGAATCACAAAATCCTCAGTGGACTTTTACATTCTCAGATTATCACAACTGATGCGGTGCAGATTATATCTGAGAGAGTCTTTAAATTGTGACCAATAGCATCTATATAATTAATGACTAATAAGTTTATATAACTGTAACTCAGGACATTACTTATCTGCAGAATTTCTATTAGAAGTTAAAAAAGCACCCAAAACCAACAACATAGACACACACAAGTCAAAGGTCATAAATCTGCAACCACAGATTGACAGCTTAAAAATTTAACAGAAACGTCTTGCAAATAGGGTAAATCTGATAATCATTTCTTACCGTTGCAGATAAAAGACCCCTTCAAGGAAGTTAAAAAGACTCTCATTCAAATTCTAGCGTTCAGAAGATTCAAATTATAAATATTACATTAATATAGATTTTTTTAATTTGTGATTATAATGCTCATGAGTATTTTTGCATCACAGATATAAATAATGATTATTGTATACTAGTTGTCATAGCCACCTAAAAATCACCATGTCTTTACTAAAATGCACAAATAAGTAGAAGTCCAGCACTGATTAATCATCTTATTAACTACATCTATGATTAGTCTTACTAAGTTTTAAATACTTTCAAAATAGCCATAAAGTTATTGGGACAGAATAACATACTGTTACAGAGAATAGTTACATTCCAAATACAGAATATATAGAGAGAATAGTATACATTATATACAAAGAGAGAACAGTATACATTCCAAATGGTATCCAAATAGTATACATTCCAAATTCCTATAATTTTAAAAATACTTTCACTATTTGGTCCTAAACCACTCTCAGAAATTGGTGGAATTTGCCACTAAGTTTCAAGACAGAAAGGGTTTTTTTTTAATTCCAACGCTACATAAAAGAAAATACTTCTTAAAGAATGTTACCATTTTAGCAACATCAATAATAACAGTAGTTATTTACAATAATATTAACCAGAAAAACAGATATGAGAATACATACTTGGGTGAAAGTTGTTTAGTTAAAGCTTCTACCTGAGCTACAGCAGCTACTCTGCTGTTTACACACGTAAGTTTCTCTCAGCCTGCCTTATTTTTTACCTATTTTTTCTGACCAGTTTGTTATAAAGCATGTTGTACACATTAAAAAAAAAAAAAAAAAAAAAAAAGTCTTACAAACCGAAGATTTTTTATTTTGTGCAATATATGCATTTTCCAGAAAATGTCTGAAACGTCTCCATGTAAATAGAAGGACTGTAAAATTTTCTAATTATTTCAGGGAACGGTTGTTTCATCCATTACAAGGTTCTTCACCCAGCTTTTAGAATAATTCTTGATCAAAAACAGCACCTTCACAACTGTAAGTCAACGTACTGTAACATACGTTTTAGGGAAAAAGAAAGAAAACTGGTTCAGCAGATGGCTTAAGAGATGGTGGCTCAAGAGTACTGAGCACACAAGGTCACTTCATTTTGAGGAAGACAACTGGCCACTTTCAAGTGGGTAACTTTGCTTAACCGCTGGTAACATCAGTCTCAAAAAAACCAAGCTCATACTGTCCCTTCTGACACTTCTACCCTGGAGAGACAGCAACCTATAGTTAACTTAGCATACAGAGAGGCCAGCTCGTCCGTATGTATGGGATCACTAGATCAGAGAACTAGTGCCAAACAAAAAGTTGAACAACAGAGTTCCACCTATCACAAACTGTTTCACTCTATACACAATTTCTAATAAATGCATAAGAAAAGAATCACTTTGAAGGCTTCTGTCCTGCTTTCAAACTTGCCTAAAACTGGCTGATGCATTCAATTTTTAGTAGCTAAAGGTAGGAAGATGTCAAACCACGTAGACCCTAGTTTCCATAGGAAACTAAAAAAGCACAGAAACGATCATTAAATCTTGACTGTAAGAAAAAAATACAGACGTCAGTGTCTGTTTCAGACTCCCAGTTCCTAGATTTTCCAAGACAAATCTCCTCTGAGGGGCAGGTATAGCAGAGCTTGCACACTCCTTACAAAACCAACCACTAGAGAACACATTATCATGAGCGTTCAGCATGCCTGCTTCTATCCAAGAGAGGGCAGTGGTGAACAAACATACAGAGTGAGGAAAAATACACGGCATGCTGCAAAAAACTTAGTCAACAACAGACTTTCCAGCAATGCCAGAATTTAACGGGAAGGAGATTTTCATTGACATCAGCTCACAACATAACTTCATAATATCTCCAATTCTGCTGGAAATACCATGCGAGTTACTCTGCAACACAGTTTTTTAACCTCCGACAGAGAACATGGACATGAATGCAAAAAACAAAAACAAAAAAAAACAAACCCACAAAACAAACCAAGGCAATAGAGAAAGCAGATGAATGATCTTCAGTTTGACAGTAACAGAAAAGCTCTACTTTCACACACACACACACACACACATACACACACACAAAAAAAAATAAAAAAAAAATAAAAAAATCAAGGATTTTGAATAGAAAAAAAAAAGGCTCCAAATCATTGACCGCTATTATGTGCTAGAAAAATCACCAAATTCTCCATATTCTCCATGTTTTCCATATTTCAAAGACCTGTTGCTAGAACATGATGTCCACAAGAGTTTACCTAAAGTATGATTCATCACTCAAATATAGCACTAGAGCTGTTATCTCATCTTAACTATTCCTCCATACCAAAAACAGTGACTTGGAAAACGATTGAGTGAAAGCTGTGGTTTAATTAAACACATTGGTGATCCTAAGCCCAAAATGGCTGATTCCTTCCCTATTCTTTAGCTGCAGGTCAGATATGCCATTCACAGGTATGGTGAATTTTGTATATATGCACTGGCACGTATATACTATAGGCCCCACTGTACGCCTACAGGTGCACCACAAAAACACACTGCCCCGATCTTGTTGCACTGGAACAGATGCCTGCCCGTGTCAGATTGCACAGCACAAAAGCTGGACATCTGCTGGATCAGGAACTGAGCTGCGAACTCTGCACCCCTCTCTGCGCGCCCGTTAGGTACCTAAGCCCCGAAGTGTGTGCTGCATTTGACTCCACTTCCACAGCCCCTCCAAGCAAGGGGAAGCAGGAGGACAAGGGCAGCAGCGGATACCGCGGCCCGGCAGACGCCCGCCACTCACCAGCCCTCAAAACGCATGCGCGGACCCTCCAGCCGCGCCACCTCCCCGCCGCGGGGCGCCGCCGACCACCGACGGGGGGAGCGGCGGGGAAGGGGCGAGAAAAGGGCGTTGTTCCCTCTCTTCCCTTCCCCTCTCTTTCCCTCCCGGCCCCCGACCCCGCCCCCTCCCCCTCCTCTCGGCTTACCCCGCCGTCCCGCTCGCGCCCCCGGTTTGGAATTTTCGCGCGTTCCGCCGCCGCGCAGCCGGCTGTGAAAGCCGCGCGCGTGCGCAGGGGGCGGAGCCGGCGGTGGTGGGATGTGGGTGGTGCGGCGGTAACGGCCCGGCTGTGCGTCGGGACGCTCCGCGGGGGTTTATGCCGCTCGGGCTTCCCCTTGCTCTGCGCGGATTGAAACGATGGCTCGTCAGCCCGCGGTGTGCCTCACGACCGAGGGCCCAAACATTTCTATTCTGTGTGTCACTAGACACTGCTCGTGGTGCACCAGCACTAAAACCTGTGTGGGACTTGTGTGTGCATCTGAGAGTGAACTGGGCTCCGTGGCTATTGGTATAGGGGGGTTAGAGATGCTGAGGTGGCCTCAATAGATGGGTGTGCCTGGCCTGTGTCAGCGTGCAGACTCTCAAGGAATAAGGTCAATTTTGACTTCTTTGGTCAGCCTAAGTGCTAAATCTGCTAAACCTGTTTGTTTTGTCAACACCAACAGACCTTGTAGCCTGTGTGGAAACGTGTGAATAGTGTGAGCACTGAAGTTCCGTAGATAAGAAATTTTGGGTTAAATAAAGATCCGGTTTGAAAGAAATATACAGGGCAGCATGCCCTCAAGTTGTTAAAAAAGAGACTGAGTAGTAACATAAAAGAGCTGCATTATGTGATGTAGCATTCATATTCAGCACGAGGATGAGCACTAAGATGTGCTCTGGAGTACTGCGTCCAGGCTTGGGGCTCCCAGTACAAGAAAGATGCAGAGCTCTTGAAGCAGGTCCAGAGGAGGGCCACTAAGATGAACAGAGGGCTGGAGTATGTCTCCTATGAGGAAAGGTTGAGGAAACAGGGCTTGTTCAGTTTGGAGAGGAGAAGGCTCCGGGGAGACCTCATTGTGGCCTTCCGATACTTGAAGGGAGAATATAAACAGTAGGGGGAATGACTGTTTACAAGGATGGATAGTGATAGGACAAGGAGGAATGGTTTTAAACTAAGATAGGAAAGGTTTAGGAGGTTTAGATACAAGAAGCAAGTTTTTCACATAGAGGGTGGTTATGCATTGGAACAGGTTGCCCAAAGAGGTTGTGGATGCCCCATCCCTGGAAGCATTCAAGGCTAGGCTGGATGTGGCTCTGGGCAGCCTGGTCTAGTGGTTGGTGACCCTGCACATAGCAGGGGGGTTGAAAATAGATGATCACTGTGGTCCTTTTTAACCCAGGCCATTCTATGATTCTATGAGAAACTTGTGGAAAATAGCTGCAACATTTCTGCCAAACTTTTTGTTCTACCAACAATTAGTCTGAATTAGCAGGCTTACAAATATGAGATATTCAAGAAGATTTATCCTCTGCATAAACATTTGTCCAGCACTGCCGAAGTTGTTTTCCACTTTGAATGTAAGCTGAACTAGATAAAAACTGCAAATACCTTACTTTCATTCAGCTTTTGTAGTCTTCCATTCAGATTTTGCATGATGTGTCATCTTTTCCACTCATTGGTGCTTTCAGTTTTCAGTAAAAGGAGACACAATCTCCTTCCATACAAATACAAATTCAGCCTACCCTATATAGTAATAGCTTCATAATTCCTGCATTACTTTCTTTTCATTTAGTATTACTGAATTGGCACCTGATGAATTAGGAGGGCTCTGCTATAGAAGTTCCAGAGTACTTTTTTGGGAAATAGCAATTGCTTATCAGGCAGTCCACCAAGATAAACTGGCTAGGATGTTTCCCACACATCCAGCACATCTGCACAGCACAGCTCAGAGTTTTGGGTGTGACACCCATATTCACTCTGCGAATCCAGTTCATAACTCATACAAGTCTTCAATCATTCTATGCCTTCCCTTTCTTGTCAAATGAAAACACGGGAAAATTTCTATTTGCTTGCTATAATCAATTGTGTCAACACTTCCTTAAATGAAGTCAACAAAATTAATTATTTAATTGCTGAAACTGTTCTAACACAGTGAAATAAGTTTGAGTGCAGGAAGATGAATAACATCATTTTTTTGTATTCTGACTGGGTATGTTCCATGACTGTCCAGTGTTTATTTCTATCCCACAGTCAGTGAGTAGCAAAAAACTGCCATTGATAATCAACCTGACGCTTATACCATTAATAGAGCCAGTTTTCATCTTCCTGTGCAAGGATCCATATTCCCATTTGCATGCACAACCAAGCGTATGGGCAAAGATCATTGTAATGTAACAGAAACTATGAAAAATAAACCCAGGAGGAAAAGGGAAAAAAATGAAAAAAAGAAAGAAAAAAAAAAAAAGAGATTTAAGAAAGTAATGAGAAAGAATATGGAAGACAGATGTGTAGAAATAGGAGTAAAAGTCATAGCAAATTACTAATATGCTTGAATTTGCATAGGTGAAAAAAACACTTGCTAGTATTACCTTCAAATAACCCATTTTAAGTAGCAAAAAAAAAATAAAAATAAAAATAAAAAATAAAAAAGTGTCATTGATCTGAATAATGAATTAGGTAGTACAAATCAAGTGAATGCCAATACAAATTTTTGCTACTTCAGACACTCTGAATTAAGTTTGCCCCTCTAGTACATTTAATAAATGCAAAACATCTGAATGTTCAAAAATATTATTGGGTCTATTTCTCGTAGCCTTGATCTTTAACAGCAGGTACTACTAAGCATACAGCTAACTCAACCATACAATTTCAAAGAGAGAATTCCTAGTAGTAAATATTTGAACCTTACAAAACTTATTCTGTTAAAACTCACCAGAGGTACAAAATCATTGAATCATAGAATCACAAGGTTGGAAAGGACCTATAAGATCATCCAGTCCAACCGTCCTCCCATTACCACTGCTACCACAAGCACTAAGCCATATCTTGCAGCTCCTCATCCAAGCACCTCTTGAACGCTGCCAGGGACAGCGACTCCACCACCTCCCTGGGCAGCCATTCCAGTGCCTGACCACTCTCTGAGAAAAAAAGTTCTTCCTTATGTCTAACCTAAACTTCCTCTGGTACAACTTGTGGCCATTTCCTCAGGTCCTTTTTGTTGCCTGGAAGAAGAGGCCAAGCCCCTCCTCATCCTCCTTTCAGGAAGTTACAGTATGCAGGTAGCGCAGATAAGAATTCTATGACTTGAAAATCTGAACATGTCAGAAAGGATTTTTCTTGAGAACCTAGCAATTTCTTCTTTGCTCAGGCATGTTGCAAAAGCTGCTTGTGAAATTCTGTACTTTGATGACGTATATCAGATACTACACTTTGGTTCAGGGCAAAATTTCATCCTTATACGTTTTGGATAATAGTAATCTGGTAAGAAAAAAATCCCTGTTTTGGAGAAAAGAAAGAAATCCATCTTTGACGGGTTTGGGGAAAAAAAAATAACGGCTGTTTGAAGCTGCTCAGAGGTTTGGAATGTTAGAATAAATACTTGGGAAGATAGATTAATGGGACAAACTGCAGGTGAGACACTCAAAGGTGCATGGTAAATATAATTTATCAGTGCACATGACCACCACATATGCAATATGTTTTGCACACGGTATGGTCATTAGCTAAAAAGCATGTGCCACTTTAACACTTGAAGAAATACTGCTTCCAAAAATGCACGGTACCAGGCAAAACACCCGCAGGCCCTTACCTGAAGCAAACACACTAAGTACCTTCACATAACTCTGGGTAGTTCAAAACCTTGCTGCAAGGCTACAGTGAGCTAATATACCCACTGAATATACATTGCAGTCCTTTACAGATGGAACTGGAGCTGCTCGACTATTAGTGTGGCAAACATAGTATCAGGAACAGTCAAAAGGCTTCCCTTCCTTCCGGGGAAGACCACAGTGTTTAAGGTGCACATATGTACACATATATTATGCTTACCTATGTTTATGGGTATATATATATATAAATATACGTATCTATCTATAACACAAATAATGGGGAGCTGGGGAGTCCCTGCAGGATTCCAAAAAAATTGTCTGTGGATATGACAACAGCATTTTATTCTCCTTGAACTGAACCATAAGAATTCCTAGTGTTTATTACAGCTATGCCTTTTCTGCTTCCCATTCTAGTACAAAATGTACGTGCACAAGAATAAAATTTGGAAATTATACCATATATCAATCAATTAGCTAACCTTTACACTGACAAGATTGTCATAATTTGTCTTCTTGTACATCTTTTAATATATGTATTTTCAGTACACACATTACTTACCAAGCTAAAGTATTTACCTTGGTGATTAATTATATTTCTGTCTCTATAAATTTCCTCATGGATACATATCCTGAGTTAATTCCTATCCCTGTACATATTTGCACTCTCAGCAGGTGCTGTAGAGAAAAACATGAGTGAAGCTGATCATTCCCAAGGCATGAAGAAAGCAGCAAAAGATAAAAGACTTCCTTGGTATCCTGCTGTTTGTGGAATGGGTGAACACTGAAGCATTCCCGAAGCTTTGTCCACAGGAACTATGCACAGTGCATGAGAGCTGAGAGTTTATTTCTGTGGTATTCCCTGATGATACTCTGAAACTGTTCCTGTGATATACAGGAGGAGTATGAAATACTTGCTGTGGAATGGAAAGTTAATGACTTTGCTTTGACCTATTGTTGACAGCTGTTACCAATATGAAATACTTTATTGAGAATTTTAGTTCCATGTTTGTGACTGTATTATTTCTTAGTGTATATAAAATACGCTCCTTACCTAGTTGAGATATCTATACATCCTAGAACATGAAAAGTTCTAGCAGAAGTTAAGATAATAAAAAGGGAAGCACTGATTTAATTGGCATCAATCAGGTGCAAATTAACAAAATGTGATAAAGATCATGCCTGAACGAATTTACAGAGGTTTGGAGGTTGGGAAACTGCCTGCTCAGAGTCAAAATGCAGCTACAAAATTTTATATTCTCTTGTGACTTA